TATAAAGAAAATATTTATAGTACTTAATAAATATAATATTGTTGTTGTTTGTTCTTGTTGATCCATTTCAGTGTAGAAATGAGAGAGCAAGTTGTTTCAGTGGAATCATAGCAAATAAAAAATGTATGCACGGGTAGCTGCGTACCAAGCTTGTTCCAAATTGTGAGCCCATTTGTAGGGTTACAAATAAGTCGGATCAGATCAGATCCAATTCCAATACCGATCCGTTAACGGATTGAATTTGGATATTGACTGATCCGATTTATTGTGACCTAATCCGATTCGTTAATTATGAAATATTATATATTATATATTTAATATAATATTGTATTATATAAATAATTTTTATGTTACATAAAATAAATATAATTCTAATCGAATCGGATATCCAATAATATATTCAAATTCTAATTCTAATTATTCAGTCGGATTTCTTAATGGATTGGATCGGATATGCCTTTACCTAATCTGATCCACCGTTTGCAGTCCTACCCATTTGACCCACTATATTGGGCTTGGCTAGACAACCTAGCCAATTCAGAATGGTCCATTCTATCCCCAACCTGGTTGTCATAATGGAGATAGATATAGGGGTGTTTGGTATAATTGTGTTGTATTGTGTTAGCGTTTTGGGTTAATCAATACAAATTTCTGAGAAATATGTGTTGTCATTTACATGACTGTTATTTCAACTTGAAGAAAAATGCATGTATGTGAGAAACATCAAAGTTAAGGTTTTAGGTAAAAATAAAAATCTGTATTGATCAATTCAAAATGTTTTCATACATTTAGGCCATGTTTGGTTTGAAGGAAAAGGTATGGAAAGGAAGGGAAACATGTATAAATTTTGTATAATTTTCCCTGTTTTCCCTTCATTTTCTTATCTTTTCCTTCAAAACAAACACTGCCTTAAGGTAATAATCTCTTTCTCACACAAATTTATATTGATCAACCCAAAATACAACATCACCCCTTAATATTCACAAGAATTTCGAGACGATTTAGATATTAAACATAGTAGTCACTTCACTGAAAATTTTTCATTTCTTAAATTCAGTTTAGAAGGAATACAAATATAAATATATACAGTATAAATACATAAAAAATAATATAAAATGTAAGATTTTATACTCCACAAATTTGTATTTATACTCTTTCTAAACTGAACAATTTAGAAAGAGTACAAATACAAATACATATAATAAAAATATATATAAAATAATACAAAATGTAAGATTTTACACTCTACATATTTGTATTTGTATTCCTTCCAAGAGCAAGCAAGAGCAGCATGTGGAGAATCGATAAAATACCATTTGATGTTGGGCAGGGCAAAAGACCTAAGTTGGCAACCCAATTATTTTATGGGCCTAAAATGAAGCCCACTCTCGACCAAATAAATGCAACTAGTGGTGTCAATGGGTCGGTTCGATCATTGTCATGGTACATCCAATAAATAAATGTGCAGTGATTCCAAACCAGATCCTATAGAGTCTGGAACAACAGACCCAGAACCGACCATTGATAGCTGTACTTTTAATCCATAATTTAACAGTAAACGAACCCATTTTTTAAATTGACAGATTTGAATAATATTACAAGTATATCATAAGAAAAGTAGTATTAAATTGGGGTAATCTTTGTAATATGCCAATACAATATTTCCAACAATTGTCAAATTGGCTGATTGGAGCTGCCTGTCATTTGGTCGTGTTTTCTCACTTTCTGATCCATTTTACCTCAAATCACTTATTTTAAAAACAGTTGACTTAGTCAATGATATAATGATGTGACCAGTTTCCTCTTGATGATATCCTAGAACCAGATTTGGATGCTGCGAAATCCTTACAAAGGAATAAGATAAAAATGGCCCAAAGTATGCAACAAGAGTTCTTTAAACAGGATATGATTTTCTGTCTAGTACCCATGCAGGCAATCCACCCCTGGATTACAGGCTTGATAAGGCAAAAGGTATAAAAATTGGGGAATACTTGGACCCCAAGTTGGGTTTGATAGACAACTTGTTTGAAACATGCTGTATTGGTTTTCTCAGCCTTCTTGTTATTCATTGTTTGATGATTTTTCCTTTAACCTTGGAAAAAAAAAATTTCCATCGTCCCACCGTCCAATTTAGAAGAGTGAAGAGTCAAGGGTAAAGGGCAGGCCCCAAAAGAAAAAAAAAATTACAAAAATTCTCTTCTACTTTGTTTTGCGACAGAGACCCCTTGTACATGAGACAAAGACCCCCTTTCCGTTATCCTTTCGTCCAAAAAGGCCGTTATAATATTTTTTAATTCCCATACCCTTAAAGATGAGAATTGAAAATACTACAACATCGGGATTGAACCCATTTGATCCCGATTATAAGTCAAACGGCGATTAGCTGCTAGTACAAACAAGCAAATACTATAGCCAAATGGCAATTCGATCCTGAGCCGACAATTCCAGGGATGAAGAAAGCAAAAGCAACAATGGTTGCTTCAATGAATATTTACCCAAAATGAGTAGTATCATAAATCCTATACAGAGTCTCATATCGTTTTCCCCCTCAAATTTTCTTGATTCCGTAGAGACTCCATGGCTGGGGATCAATCCAGAACCACCGACTGGCCGGAAAGGGATGACATTACCCTGGCAAGCATAGAGCGGAAGGTGAATAGCGTTGATCTTCCCTTGTCCCTTCGGATGATAAAGAAAAAGAGGCAATGGCAAGAAGGCTTCAAAGAAACTAGTGAATCCGCTTATTGCTCCGTGAAGAAGGCCTTCTCTTCCATGGTATTCATCATCCAAGAGCTTCACAGTTATGCCTTGTAGATGCGGGAGATCCTTTTCTACGAAGATCTGCAAGGGATTCTGGATCGAGTGCAGGAGATGCACGCTTCGTTTGTGTGGCTCTTTCAACAAGTGTTCTCACACACGCCGACTCTCATGGTCTACATCGTTATCCTTCTAGCCAACTTCACCGTGTACTCGATGGGTCACAACACTGCATTTGCAGCACCAACAATGGCGTTGAGATCTTCGGGATCTTTGGGCGCCACTGTGGATACTTTAACGGTGACTAACATCAGGAATCAAAAGCAGCCCAAGTTTGATAGTTCGACAATTAAGACGTTTTCGTCTTCGACTAGTAAGAGCATCTTCATGGGGGGAAGCAGTGGTGGAGGTGGAAAGGTCCGCCCAGTGGTCAATGGGACTGATGGTGATGGTAATGGCCGATTTGACGGTTCATCATCATGGAACGATAATCGAACCATTGTGCCAAACGAGATATCTCGGGTGTCATCTTTTGGGAACCCAATGTCGACACAGGAAGGTGGGGAGTCGGAAACGATTATGGAATCAGAGTCAGGAGGGGACGACGAGTGAAGAAGAAGTGAATCTATGGAATGCAATTGTGGAGGAAGCATCAAGAATGCAAGCAAGCATGAGAGATGAGGCTTTGGACCACAAGACAATGCAACAGTTTGTTTCGCCGATAAAGGTGGAGATTGAACCGGAAGACTACACAGATTACTTGAGGACGGAACCCATGTATTAGCTGGCCTTGTCCCAAGAACCCGACAACCCTCTCATCCTGGCAAACTATGCTCAGTTCCTCTACCTCGTCTTCTGCGACCATGATAAGTAAACAAAAAGCTTAAACCCTGTTGGCTGTTCTGTTCTATTTTACATTTACGTTTTCAAATCAAATTGGCGTTCTTTGTGGGTTGGTTAGTACTCAACTAATGAACCAGAGTCCCACAATTGTGGGTTCACAGTACACTCGAGAATCATGATGAATACGAAACGAACCGCTTTTGGAGGGTCGAAGGATCGCCCATACAAGGAAGATGGCGAACAGAATTACAATGACGAATACTCGCTGGGAAAATAGCTTCTTCCACTTGTGATGGTTGTGGTGACCACAGTCCTGCTTCAACGACATCTTCACTCGTCGGTTTTTGTCTCAGATTGCAGGAAAATCGCCTTGAGTCAATGGGAGACAGTGAACTAGTTACAGAAATTTGTATCTTGCGTCGACAAATCTATAGAGAGAACGAAAGAAAGAGACATTTGTTTCACATAAATCCGTAGTATTTGCCTAGTATTTTCAACTCCCCACCTCTCTCAGTCTCTCCCAATACTACAACCAAACAACCTTGGCCGATCTTCTCAAAAATATGAGCAAACATTTTTCGTTGGGCTATCAAGCATTGCAATTTCCTATAATCGCCACATCGTCGATGATGGCTATAAGGACGAGATTGAAGACGGAGAAGAGAAAAAAAGGGAAGGTGAGAAATTGGATTCCTCAGTCCTTTCGTTTCGGAGGGTTGGGAGAGAAAAAGAATTAAAAAGGACGGTGAGGGTGGGAAAAAGAAGAGAAGAAAAGAAAAATAATAAGTTAAATGGGTTTGAAGAGAAAAGGGCAAAAAAAAAATAAAATAGATATGGGTTTAAATAGTGAGAAATGATTTCTGCGTCCATGGATTTGATATTGGATCTGTCACTGAACAAAGTGATTTAATGGTGGAACAGGATTCATATGGTCTGCCTCATAATAGTTATTACAAAGTTGAATTGAGCTAATCTGCCATGTAATTGGTGGGCCAATTCACAGACCCATATTCTCTTGTATGAAACATGAGAGTGCGACTTTAGATCATACATAAATCAATTTGGGCCATGCTGGATTTAGGTGCCCGCCTCCAGTCTGTATCTCTGACTCTGACATGTTTAGGATGCCTTGCCCACTCGATCATTGTCTAATCTGACTGATTGTTGCAACTAATTTGGCCAGTTGGGTCTTTTTTGGGTCTTGCTAACTTATACGCAGCAGGCCCATCACCCATGCCCATTTCCCTAGACCCACTAGTTTGGCTGGTCACACTGGTCAGACTCAGACCGTAGCAACTTTATAAGCCCATGTGGAAAACTATAACCTTACCAGCTGATTGCTCACACGTGAACGGTGGACCTCCATTCTTGGGCTTCTCACTAGTCGTCACACACATATATACAGAAATAATTTTGATTCAGATTCACTTCGTTCCAAAACAGCTTTGATACACAGCCACCAAAAAAAGAAAAAAAGAAAAAAACAAGAGAAATAGAGAAATAAACGACCAAACAAAAGGCGAAGAGGAAGATATAACAAGAGGAGAAGAGCAAAAGGAACAATCCTCAAAACTCATGGATGGAACAATAGTAATGGCTGAAGGGTTTTTCTCTTTTATGAAGAATACTTGATCTCCCGCACTTTTCTTCTCCCGGCAAAACCTTCACCGTGTCTCATTATCCAAAATCTTTCTATTTCTTCCGGTTTCCTTCCTGGAATTCGCCCGGCTATTAGATTCCACCTAAATGTTAATAAACAGAAAAAAGAAATAATAAATGTATCCAATCTTTATTCTTACTTTTAATAACAGCTAAAAAAAACTGACAGACATAGACATAGTGTAATGGTTTTTGACATATTTTCTATTGAGAAGCTATGAAACTGGTTTGGTATGACTCACGGAAAGATTTAAGCCCCGTTTGGGATTTTTTTTTTAGGTATTTATTATTGAAAGAAGTGTTTATTTTAGTCCCAGATCACACCAATAAGAACTTATAAGCATTTGGATTTGGGACATAAACTCGAAAAAACGTTTTTTTTAGGGAATAAACCTGTTTTTGAATAAGTTCATAATGTTGGCTACTTTTAGCGCTTTTTGAAAAAAAAAAGTTCAAAATATCTACATTACCCCTTTGAAAAAAGCAACTTTTACTCATAAATAAATACTTATATTAGAATAAGCACTTATTTATTCAATAAACAATCGCAGACGAGACGGTGACTTAAGAGAGAGAGAGGGCAGTAGGAAACAGCAATTCAACAACACTTGTTATCATCCCCTCTGCATGCGTGCCAATTTGAACTTCCGTTCTTGATGGTAGGTGGAGGTCACGTGACATCTATTATGTCAATAAGCAACCCCAACCAAAATAATTAGAATAGGAATAAATCTGCAACTCTGTGAATGGAAAATGTAAATCAAGCCCAGCCCACAATCAAAAATTTTCCTTTGCAAACAACAACTAACGTTTATTGATTAAATATTTTGTAATTCATTTGTTTAAAAAATTGACAAAAGCAACGATCAATCCCTTTATTAATACTTAGACACCACATCAGCAAAACAGTAAGGAAACGCTAAAATGAAGCTTACCCAAAATTAAGTGTGTACATAAACCAAATCTACTTTTTGCAAGTCTCGTAGATTCACATAAAGCCTACGTGTTAGCATTTAAAGCGTATGTGTTAGCGTTTATTCACACGCTAACACATTCCCCTCCTTGCTCTGTATTCTGTGAAACCAAGACCAGCCCCTTCCTTGCATTTGCATGTATAGAATAGATAGGGTCCAGTTGGATCAGGTCCTCCAGTCAAGGCCTCATCCCAAATCTTAGCCCAAGCCCAACCCTAAGGGCCCTTGGAACTGTGGTTGATTCTTTAATCTTGATTGTGCTCGGCGTAGGCCGTTGCATCACCACCATCGCAATTCAATCCTCTGATTACAAACCTATTGTCCTGATTAACAACCCAGAGCAGCGCTCTTAGGCCTGCTCAAGAGCCATTACACGCACTATCCACTGTGAAAGTACTATTGCGCTTCACCGGCAGAGGCTCTAGCGAGTTGAGTCTCATTCTCAAAAACCAAAACTGGCCGGAAAGCAGTGGAAATAAGAGTAAAGAGTAAAATTACAGACTGCTTTTCTATTTCGTTTACCTGTCTCCGACGAGTTTATACATCCTATAAATGAGATCTTCCTCTTGCTCGGTCATGTTTATGAATTCCCATTCAATGCTACTCACCTCTGCCACAAGCAATCAAAAGAAATAAGGCAGATAAGAAACAGAGAACAAAACCCACCAAAGATTTAAGCACAGGACAGGACAGGAGGAACCCAGAAACGAAAAACTGATGATCGAGAAACACGGAGAAGAAAACATAGTAAGGAACAACTGACCTTCAGAATCATAGTGAATGATCTTGGCTTGCTTCCGGCGACGTTTGTCCATAATTTCTCTTACGAGAAGGATTAGGGGGGGGGAGAGAGAGAGAGAGGTAAATGTGGAAGTGTAGTGGGAAATGAGAGGGTTGAGATAAATCAGTTCCCAAATTGGGAAATGGGATGGTTTTTAGAGCAAAACGGTTGATATAGTATGGAACGACCGGTGATACCAAACAGGCAATTGAAATGGGTTGACAAGTAGTTGTCGTCACTGAATTAATACTTTTTCTCTCTAATAATAATTTTGCTCTGGATAATTTTGTTATCCAACTAATCTTGCTTTGCTAGTCGAATTGTAAACACAGTCTAACTTGCATAAACACGGTCTAACTTGCATAAACACGGTCTAACTTGCTCACAAATCTGTTTTCTCTGTTCTTATCTATGCAACCTACACCTCGGACATTGTGCAATTTCATCTGAATCGATCAACTGTCAATAGACCATTAGATGGATTGCATGTAATATTCCAGATGGGCGATGTGAAATGGATTAATAAAGCAAAAAAGAATTTGCAAATCCTGATTCCTGAGCAAATTTTTTATTTTTAAAGTATAAGAAATACAATATTAATTAAGTAAATTGATTACTTTTGTGTGGTGTAGTTTGAGGTTGTCTCGAACCGCGTGCCAATGCGGCATCATGGAATTGTAGGTATTTATCGAGATGCAAAAGCAAACACAACCAATTTTTATTGGAATCACTTGTTCATCATATCGAGGTAGATAAAAGAGAAAAGTAAAAGACTTTCCATTCTTAAGGAATTTCCCATTCAGTGGTCACTACTAATTGGTTAGACCTGTTTATGGGTCAGGCCGGGCCGGTTCGAGCCGAATTTTGCCTCTTTATTTAAAAATATTAACTATGGTATAATTTAGTAATTTAATATTATTATATATTATTATTATATATTACCTATGGTCACTACTATATATATATATATTTTATTATATATAATATTATTGGGTTAGGCTCATTTGAGAAAACTGAAACCGGGCCAGAAAAATAGTAGAGCCTTGTACTTAGAGCGAAGGTTCAAATATCAATATGCCTTTTGTGTATTGGCATAGGTGTATCGTTACTTTGAACCAAAGTTCTAAAAATCGACCTGAAACCAAAACCATTTTGGGCACTAGTTTTTTGGGTTGATAGTTTAACCACTTGATTCAAATAGATGGCCTGTTCTAATGAAAATATAAAATAAAAAACGGTCAAAAACTATTGAATGGATTGATAGTTTTACAGCCGAATCAATGAGTTATTAACCAATTTGACATTTTTGGCCAAGGATCAATTTTGGGGTAAAACAGAACCGGTTGCTTGGATGGTTCCCGAGCCGAACAATTTGTCTATCTAGGTCAATGGTGGTTTGAAATCATTGCTTTGAACAATGTTCCTTATATTTTATTAGTTTACTTTTCAAAGTTTCATTTTCATATATATATATATATATATATATATATATTATTTAAAAAAAATGAATTCTCTAAAACACCTGTATCGAAGACAAAAAGATACAATATGATACATCCGATATGGAGCGTAAGGTATCAACACTTTGAACCTTGCTTAGAGTTCAAGTCTATACCCACATGCCTAAAATTTTGTCCAAGCCCAATAAAGAACAGGTCGGACCGGGCCATCCCCTTATCTTACCTGTCCCACGAACAGGTCTACTGGCTTCGTGTCTCATGTATAAGAAATCAAGGCCCACAGTTTAGTAGGTGTTTGGCATCGATGCCGTCACTTTAGAGATATTTTCTAATAAAATGGTGTTGTATGCATGAGGGTTTGTTGCATTGTTTTCTTAGAAAATGACTCCTTTTGTGTGTGTGTGTGTGTGTTTTGGCACCACATAGGCAGTTTTCTGTGAAAACAACATTGGTTTTGTTTGATACTGGTGCTATAAAACTATTTTCAGCATTGGTCTATATTATCCAACTTCCAAGAGGATAATGCATCATTGCACTGCTGGTGGTAATGTACTATTTTCTGAGAAAATATTGAATTTGGCATTTCTTCATATCACACTTTCCTTATTTCCAAGACATGGTCTGAAGCAATGTTTTTTTTTTGGAAAAAATGATATCAAATAAAAGGCCATTTTCTCAAAAAACAGTATTGATGCCAAACACCACCTTAATGGATCTTTATGTGTTGGATTAACTGGATCACAAAATAGACAAGGAGAGGCTATATCCAACTGACTTTATTGTGTTTAGATCAACGGTGAAAGAAAAGTATTAAATACAAGTGAGAGTAAAAAAAAAAATTATATGCATATGTAAGAAAAGAAAAAGGCTATCCGAACTCTATTGACTGTCCGTTTAGTTTGTGAGAATAGGGGTCAGGAATTAGAATTGGAATGACCCATTTCAATTCTATTTATTTGGTTGGACAGAATTAAAATCTAATTACCATTATAATGGAATGACACTTGACATTCCCCAACTGATTATTCCCTCCCTTTGTCCCCATCCTTGATAATGAGAATTCCATTCAAGCCGATTCCAATTCAGGTTACAATTCCTTCTGCCGAACAGATGGGGAAATAGACTATTCCAATTAGGATTCTGAGAGATTTGATTCCAATTCTGATATGATTAGACAATGGACACTGAACAGGACTCTCTGGTAACTGATGAGACTGATTTTTTATTTTCTTTTTCAGGGGAAGAAATCTATCACACTGATGGTAAATGACGTAAATTAGGACTCATTCGATGCTAATAATGATAGTTAAAAACATGTAAACGTGGGCCACGTGGCAAAGCCACAGACCCGTCTCATTCATGTACGCGTGTGTCTCGAGAGAGTATTAATTTCATCCTCATAAAATCCCTCCTACACCGTCTTCACAACCTTTACAGCTGTGGATTGAGAATATCTCGCACGACTAAAATCTAGGGGTGTGAGAAAAACTCAAAAACCAAATTGACGGAAAAAAACGATCAAAACAGAACTAGGTGGTCCAGTTTCGGTTAATCAAAATAAAAAATTGGGGCTTAACGGAAGTGACTGATATAAATATTTATATATTTTACGTATATATATAATGGGGTCTGGCCCGAAGACCGAAGCCTGAGCCTGACATAATATAAATATATATATTACATTTTTTATACATTATAAATTAATAAGTATACATTATATATATAATATTTAAAATATAATATTATATATTTTTAATATTTTATTATATTTTTATAATATATATTGTAAATAACAATAAACCGATGAACTAACGAATCGAACTGGCCAATAAGTTAACGATTTGATTTCAATTATCGAATTTTTGAAAACCGATAACCCCGGTTCAATTTCAAAGATAAACCCACAGTTCGGTTACCAAACCGTTAGCACCCCTAAAAACATACCAAATACGGAAATGATCCCAATGCAGGGTTACAGCTTACAAGGGGTGTGAGAATGGAGTTTGTGAGAACAAAATCCGAATTCGTCTCCGGACCGGACCAAAATGCTGATGTTCCCTCCGTGCAAATATCTTTAATTCAATTAAAAGGGCCCCCAAACGGCTGAAATCGTAAGAAAAAGGTAAAATACAAAAATCTTCTCTTAAGTTTCTGACAATTATAAAAACTTTCTTTATAATTTCATTTCAGTAAATACTTCCTTTCTATTTTTGACAAAATTAACAAATACCTCCCTTATGTGACTAAGATGGAAAATGTTAAAAAGATGATTATTTTTTTTCAAAATACTTATTTTTACCCTTTCTCGAATGCTGTTCATCTTCCTCCCGTTTGAATCTAAAAGCAGAGGCAGTAGCGGCACCATTCTAAATATTTCTGTACCAATATACAGATATGTCAGTTCAACCTTCTTCTAGTTACGCCATTCATTCCACGGTGCTGCCGCTGCCCCTGCTTCTGGGTTTAGAGGGGTGCTGCCGCTGCACCTGCTTCTGGGTTTGAACGATAAAGAATATGAATAGTATTCGAGAAAGGGTGAAATAGGTATTTTGAAAAAAAAATTATTTCTTTAACCTTTTTGGTCTTTGTTATTGATGGAAGTGAGGTATTTGTTAATTTTATCAAAAATAGAAAAGAGGTTTTTGCTAAAATAAAACTATAGAGATGGTTTTTATGATTGTCAGAAAGAAACAGTTTGAGAGGAGGTTTTTGTATTTTACCCAAAAAAAATTACTATTTTGGGAAACGTATTTATTGATAGTATTGTCATTTTATTGGTAGTACTATGTCCAAAGCCCTACGGCTCCACTCTTTATTTATCTTCTTTGTTTTCATTAATTAAATATGGCCTATTTTACTTGATTGTTGGTTAAACGGTTGTAGTTTATTTGGTAAAATTATAAATTACCACCTAAAGTTTGGGGTAGTTATACTTACTCCCCAAATTTTCAGTTTGTCATAAAATTCTAATGCTCTGCCTTCTCTCCATTAATTGGATAGACAGAGGAAGTTCATTTACCCCCTTCAAGATTCATATAGGTGAAATGGTGACATTTTAAAATGATGAAAATGGGCAAAACAAAGTTTATTATCTCTTTGTTGACTACTTTGATGTAAACCTTAATCAAATAAATCCTTCTTACAAAAAGAAGAAAGAAACACAAATAAAGGATTTATTCAAATATGTAAGAGAAAGGGCAAAATGATCTCACAAACCAAGGAAATTTGTAGTTTGATGATTTAGAGATGTTTAACAGATACATGGAAATCTTTTTTCAAAGTATAGTGGTGATATTCATTCTTTTTCAGCTTTCAAATTAGACTAAAGTCTCGTTTGGTTCACTGGAATAAGGATCTAGAATCGGAATAGACTATTCCGATTCCAACTGTTTGATTGGGCGGAATCAGAATTCTATTTCTATTCCCATTCCTTCTGGAATGGCATTCTCCCATTTGAGGGAATGGGAGAATGCCCATTCCTTGTCCCTACCTTGAGAATGAAATCTCGTTTTTATTGATTTTGATTTTCATTCTTATTCATGTCTGAACCAAATAGACTATAGGAATAAACCATTCCAATTCTGATTCCAAAAAATTTTATTTCCGATTCCATTTCCCACTTAGAACCAAATGAGCCCTAAGACCTTCCCTGTCGATTGAACACTATGTCCAGATCCACTTGCATGTA